AGTATCGTCAAATTTTTTTTCTTTTTTTATTGGTAACTCAATAATAACTTTTGAAATCATGCAACGATACACTGAGATTTTACCAATCGTGTTAATCAATCGAGATTTTTGCCAATGATATTTCGTGAAAAAAATATTGTCACGGTTCATTCCCCTCGAGCGTCGCAGACGTGCGAATTGGACGAGTAAAGATTCAAAAATTAATGAGACTCGGGCAGAAATCAGCGTCGAAAAACGTGCAAAAATTCTTGCGGCTGCGTCGTCCTTTCACATTCCGTGTCGCACAAATACGACTAGTTCTCTGGAACTTTCCTAATTACTTGCAAAGAATTGCGCGTAATGATTGCAAATTACGAAACAGATCCTCCTACTTTATTCTTTTATCTTTTTTTTTTTTTTTATTCGACCTAACAAAATGACCGAAGGCAATAATAATAGGAATATTCCATTCTGCTAAAATTGCTAAAATTAGTACTTTTACAACCGAAATACGAAAATTAAAATACGAAAGATATTTTTATCTTGTTTTTTTTAAACATTGGATAATAACATTGGATAATAACGAAATGTCAGGGAATAAAGTTTTCTTCTGAAAGGTCAGAATATTCGAATGTTACGGAATATAATAAGATATTTTTTTCAAAACACTGAATCTAGATCTATTGAAAATCTATTGTTAGATTACGTTCACAACATCGATTGTATATTATCATATTCGCGATAATTAAATTCTAATAATCGAAAGCGATAAATAAAGATACCGTCGATCCGATAGAAAACAATTTTTCGATTATATTATTCCTTCGACCAAACATATGTGACCTATCTAAAAAAATTACCCATACACAGCTTACTTCAAACGGTTATAATTTTGTTTATATAATTCCAAACTTCAATCGATAGCGACAGCGATTGAAAATTTGAAAATTTAATTCACAATCGATCATCAATTTTTACATTACCAAAAACAACATATAATAAAACTGAATCAATCTTCCACACTTTCCAACTGTTATTAACACACATATATAACATATATAAACAAAATTATAACCATTCGAAATAAATGTATTAACGTACGAATACTTTTTTTTTTCCAGATATACCGTACGACCAAGACTACTAATACCAGTCGAACGAGCAAAACAATAATGGGAGGGGGGAGAGGAAAAAAAAAGTAGAGAAAAGAAACAAAATTCCTTCGTCCTCTATCGAGTCTCCTTCGAGA